AAAAGTTTTCTGTCAGTTCTCAGAAAATAGCCCAAGATTTCTAAAGAAAGTTTCTAGCCTTATGAAAATATTTCCTAGTCTTTTTTAAGGATTATAAAGAGTAAACTTAATTTTTAATGTTTCATACAAAAGTCTCATTGTTTTCCCATAGCACAAACTCCTCAATATTTGCCATATTTATTCAATAATGAAATATTAGGTTGTACTGAAAACACATGCCTTATAATAGAACTGGGAATATGATTTGAACAGATACTAATTAAATGGAGAATCTGCTGTGACTGGTTTTTTTTGTAATATTGGAATTTTCCCTATGTTAAGTAGAACCTAATAATTGGATCCTTAGCCAAAGCTGTGGAGGTCTCTAATTTGATCTGTATAGGATAAATCTCTTAATAATAAGATGTACTGTAATAAAAATTTTTAATAAATGAAAGATTCACTGACCCCAAACTAAACATGCACTTCACTAATTTGCATTTTAATTTTCAGCTATTTTGAAGATGAGGAAGAAGACTCTAGCAATGTTGATTTACCTTATATTCCTGCCGAAAACTCACCAACCCGCCAGCGATTCCATTCCAAGCCAGTGGATTCTGACAGTGATGATGATCCCTTGGAGGCATTCATGGCAGAAGTTGAGGCAAGTATCAATCAATTCTTTTGTTTTGTTAAAATATTCAGCAGTTAGAAACAGATCAGTTAACCTAGTACGTTCAAAATTTTTCTAGTCTTTTTTTTTTTTTTGAGATACTTGTTCTCATACTCTACAGTTTCGTGTATCTACTTCCAATTGCCCTGTAGTGTTTCCAGAGATGACTATGACTAGAAATTTGAACTGTATAACCCTTGAACATAGTAGCTTGAGATTTGTGTGTGTGTGTTTTGTTTTATTTTAATAACCTTAATATATTCTTAAATGGAATGAACATTATATCATTCAGTCTAACATTTCTGCTAGATTCTGTAACTTTAAATGTTATTTCTTCATCAATATCCATGACATCCCTGTAGAAATTGAAATTCATGACCACCGCCTCCTTGCTACTCTTCTAACTAGGCTTTTGTAAGATTTTTCATATTTTTCCTTTTTCTATAATTTTTCTGACTTTTTTTTCTTTTTACTTTTTATTATGGAAAATTTCAAACACATAGTTACAAGGTAGAATAATAAAATGAACCCTCATGTACCCTTCACCCAATTTTATTAGTTAACAACTTTTGGCCTGTCTTACGTTACCTAACCCTTTCCACCTCCAAATCTTTTATTATTATTTTAAAGTAAATCTCAGACATACAATTTCATCCATCAGTATTTCTGTGTCTCTATAACAGAACTCTTAAAAAAAAGACAAAACCACCAGATCATTACACCAAAAGAAAAAATCATTAAATATCCATCTGACTGTTGTTATCCTTGTGATCCTCCTCCAGTTTCTCAAATACAGAGGTCATTTACAGTTCTCTATATTGATTTAATATCTTCACTCTTTATACATTCCTTAGTGACCTCATCTAGTTTTAAAACTTTTATGTGCATAATTTATTTCTTTAGCCCCATACTTGCTCTTTGGTTTCATTTCTACTTTTCCAGAAGCATATTGGCCATTTTTACATGGGTGTGTCCCACTGGTAACTTAAACCCAATTCATCATCTTTCCTTCTTCAACAGGTGATTCTCTTGTCTTATTTCTGTTAATGACACCAATATTCATGCAATCACCTTGGCTTAAAACTTTGTCTTTAACTTCTTTCTTTATTCTCCCCTTCATTTCTTTTTAGCAGATTATCAAGCATTTTCATTATTTCATTTAATCCTCAGAGTAACCATGGGAAATGGGCAGAAAGTATGTACGTATAAATATAATTTTTTAACTGATAAGAAAACCGAGCCCTAGGATAATTGAAATCACATGCCGCAAATCATATTGGTATTTATATGGAAGAGCTGGGACTCAAATCTAATTCTTCTTGCTTGGTAGTCCTGAAAGCCTAGCTTTTTCCAGTACATCATGCTGCCTTTCCTCTAATTTGCCAAGTTCTATCATCTTTACAATAGCCTGTATCTGTTCCTTTCTGTTGCCACTAGTAGTCATCCTACTTTATATCCTCATTAACTCTTGCCTGGGCTAAATTCTCTCCCTGCTCCCCCATTTACGTGGTATACAGCTACAGGTTAATTAGACCAAAGCATGGTTCTTAACATGTTATTCCCCTTGCTTCAACCTGTCACTTTATTGCTTTTAACATAAAGTCCTTTCAGATTCTTGTCTTCAGCCAGAATTCATCTCTGCTCTAAGGAAGGAGGGAAAGAAAGAATCCAAGACAGATGTATTTTTATGTGATCTAGACATTGCTTTTTAAAAAATGGGAGCC